GAGATAGAGAAGGCAGCTCAAACCATCCTTTGCTGGGGCAGGAGAAAGACAGTCTCCCTTCAGCCAGAGAGGCCAAAAACTGACGAAGAAGCAGCTAGTAGTTACTGCAAGGCACAGACAGCCTGTAAGCTAAAGAAAGACAGCATCAAAGCAAGTTAGCTGCTCACTTTCCTGCCACTGTCCCTGGGTAAAAGACATCAAGCCCCAAAAAGGCAGGCTCTCCTGGCCAACAGGTGTTCCCCTCCCTGCCATGCCCTATGCTCCTAACCCATGGCCAGACCTGACATCTCCAAGTCGCAGGACCCCTTTCCCAGATTCTCTTGCAGCAGACCAGCACTTAAAGAGTCTACTGCAAGCAATAACCAGAATTCCCAGGAGAAAGCACTGCATACCTTGCCTCCACACATGGGACTTACACCCACTGCCCATCTCCGGAGGGCTAGTAAACCCCTCCTCTCCTGCTGGCCCTTCCTGGCCCTGCTGAAGCCTGTACACTGTGCCTCATTGAAAGTAGCAATCTGCTTTAAAGCAGGCATCTTGGGCAAAGCCTGTACTAAGACAAGACATGACTGTAGGAAAGAAAAACTCCATCAAATAAATTGTATGGTCTCTGATCATCAATCAGCAAATCAGGCAAGAGCCCAGGTCCAGCTTCCTACAGCCAAGGGACACAAAACGGATGCCAACAGTCCTGAAAGGAGGTATGGGGTACTTGGAGATTTGTCAAGGCAGCCACAGGCTCTGCTGGCTTCACTACTGATCTTGATGATGACCCCATGGCACAGCTTCGGTAAAACTTAGCTCCTGACAGCTGTGAGATTTAGCCATCAAGGCAGGAAAAAGACCCTACCCCCACACTGGCTGTACATCCAGGTCCACGGAGGAGGAAAGCTGCTAAGTCCAAATACTCTGTTGCCACTCAGGGCTGCACAGCGTGACGGCACTTTAAACACAGCTTGGAAAACCCTTGGCTCACTTCCCTGCTCCAGCTCTGCCTGGCTCCTGCTCCCTTCCACCCAGCTCTGCCACTCCAAAACAGGCACAGCCTGTTGGCATCCCCTGCCCATGACCCTCCAGATCTCCACATCAGGAAAATGATTTCCAGGCCATCAGCATCCTGATTGCATCAGTACAAAAAACATCAAAACCTTTCCAAATATAGTCAGAGGCACAAGCCCTCCATGGATCCGATCAAGTAAAATACACATCAGGCCACCCTGTTTTCTGTAAAGGACATTAAAAAGTAAGAATAATTATCAGTCTGCAACTGATTTTTCCAAGTATCCTATCTCTTCAATGAAGCATCCAATCTCCTCCCACAATGTCCCCAGCAACTTTCCAAAATAAACAGATAAACAGAGAAAACAAAACATCCAGAACATTGGATGAATTTGGGGGCAGCTTGCAGAGAATGAGCTTGGAAGTGTGTTAGGGAGATTACAGTCTTGCTTTTCACTCGCAGAGACCAAGTGTCAAATTGTCCCTTTCCCCCATGACTCAAGATCTCAGCAATGAATACACCAGAAAATAAGAAGCAAGGGAGAAATATACTACATTTCTCTAGGGTTGTGGGGTTTTTGTTGTTGTTTGTTTGTTTGTTTAAACATCTCCCTTCCTACTTGCTGCTGTCTCCAGACCATTTCTCTATCCCCACCACCTGCCTTTGGTCTCTTCTTTATCAAGCAGCATCAGGCTCTTCCCTATGATTCCTCCTCGGTTGTGAATGCCTTCCTCTCTGCCCGTGGATCTCCCTTGCTGATTTAAGCACAGTGGAGTCTGCCTGGTCTCCACCAGCCGGCTTTGAGGCTGCCTTGCCAACAGACTCCCTGTGCGATCCCAGGGCAGCCCTTTATCTCCCTGTGCTCCGTGTCTCCCTATGTAAAATGGGAAGAGCATCTCCTGAGAGTGCTGGGAGAATAAAACACTGCTAATAAGCCTGAGGCTCCTGAGTAGCCTGGGAAGGAAGTATCTGCCCAGAAGTGCCCCAAAGGGACCAGAAGGGAGGAATTAACAGGTTTGTTGCTTTCTTCTATGCCTGTGTCCATTCCTACCTCTGTGACTATTTTTGCATTGGGTTTGTAGCTGTGTGTGGGTCCTCTGTGCAGCAGGATGCTCTCCTAGGCTCTGCAGGAACAGAAAGCTTCAAGGGAGCAGAGACAAATCCCCAGCCCCAGCTCCCTGCGACCCTCTAGGGATGAAGAGCTGGGAGGCATCCATGGGAATGTGTTGACCTGTGATTCGGACATGATACTAGACAGAAGCTGGGCAGGTTAGTCTGGGCAAAGGCTCACCCTGGCATGCTTCATCCACCAGCTTCGTGACTGGCCCTGGCTGGGGAAGGGTGGTAGCACCTCCCAGCAGAGTCACCGTCCATAGGCACAGCTCTGGCACGGTTGACTCTAGAGGGAGCTGAATGCTAGCGCCGAGCAGACGCCCAGCTTTTAGACCCCCAGATCTCAGAAAAGGGAATCTAAGCCCAGGTGTGTGCCAGGCCTTTGTTACCCACTTCTCCCTTCTCCTCAGATTCCCCCTCCTTCTCTGTCTCCCCAGGAGCTCTTTGTAGCACCAAATCTCACTTCTATTTGTAGCCAGGTTTCCTTAGGAAGCCGGGCATATGAAATCACAGTTTCCACGTCTGTCTGTCTGTTCACATCGCTCCCCCCTCTTTCCAATTTCAGCTAAAATCATCAGAGGGACAGAGATAGCAGAAAAAGCCAAGTTCCTACAAGCTTCCTGAAAATAGCTGGAGAGATACCACTTATGTCCTCTGCAAGGGAAAGACTGGTCAGTGGGCTCAGCCCATACTGTATGCCAAGAGTCTCAACAGCACAGCACCCTGAGCACCCTGCAGCAGACCCAGGTGGAGCCCAGATTTGCACAGCTGTGGGCACCAGTGTCCGTGAGCTGGGAGCACATGCAGATTACAGCACGTAGAGTTGAACAGGGGTCCAGGTTCTTCCCTGTACCAGTCACAAGGAGAGCCATAGACATGTGTTGTCTATGACCAACCTGTTGGTTGGCTGTCCAGTGATGCTTCTGTCTTGGGGGTCACTGGGCTTTATTCCAGGTTCTAAGTTTCTTTGGGATGCTGGAGAACAACAGGTTTACCCTGGTAAGCCATGACAGTATCCCCTGAAAACCACAGCAGAAAACCAAATTCTGTCCTAGATGCAATGCCAGAAAATTGCAACTCTGAAAGCCCTGAGCAGATCTGGACACTACAAAAGGCAGAGAAGCAGCTGTGCCTATATAACATCATTTAAGGTGATGTAGAGACTCCCAGGAGCAAGGACATAAGCCAAAGTTTGTGCCACGTCATGTACAGCAGTACCAGGAGAGAAAACCTGGTACTTAAACAGGTGAAGCCTGTTTAAGTCTTGGGAGCAATTCACAGCCAATAGATCACAAAAACCTTAGTGAAAGTGGGGGGAGAGAGAAGAAAGCAAAGTTTCATCACCTTAAAACTGTGCTACTTGGTGTTGGCATTCAGAGATGCTCGACATAAAGAGTATGTCCAACCTCCTCAGGTATCTTGAATGAAAACCCTGGTATAGAGGAAGCTTTGGCCAACGTGGCTTCCCAACACTGACTTAGGAGTTGTTTACGTCTCCAGAGAAACAGAGCTGGTGGGGTGTAAGAGGAGTCAGAAAATGCATCAGCTTTCCTGGGGAGTTGGTGGGGGGGGTTCATGCCTTGGCTGGCAGGTTATGGCTCTAGAAATGTTAGATTATTTCCCTATTTGGACTAAATGTCTGTGTTGAACAAGGGGCAAAGCTGCTATTGAAGAATCATTCGTAAGGAAAGGGGAGAAAGAAACATTTCATAGGTGCTCCCAAGGGACTACAAATGCCTTTCTTTGGTGATACCCACTTCCCCAGCCAAAGCCATATAGAACAGCTCTTTTTTTCCTGGATGCCACCATCACATCAACATGCAAGTGTCCCAGCTTCCCTTTTCTAAATAAAAGTGCATCTCTCCTTTTTGTGGTAGTGACAAAAAGCACATGAATACCCAGGCAAGTGTCAGGAGAGCACTCAAAGAATCCCAGCCCCTCTCAGCCTTCATTTCCATTACCTGACTCGCAAATTTCCAACATCTGGGACTGGAGGAACATCTTCCTGTAAAGCGCAAGCAAAGAGGTCCCCTTCAATCACACACTTGCACCCACATGCCTGTGACCTTGTGGTTTTACTACAGCTTTCATTTTCAGACTCCAATTCTCCCTAGTGCTTGCTGCATTTCTGTAACATTTTGGCAGTTTGCTTTCGCCTTGGAGACAGAGCAGAGTGCGGAGTTGTTTTGCATGGTTCGGTGGGGAGGGAAGCAACAAGGCTGCGAATAAAGAATTAAACTCAAGATGACGGAAGAGCCCCAGCCATGCTTCCACCTAGACAAAGCCTACGTGATGAGCGCTGCTTAATACTAGCCCTTAATAACACATGATGCTCGAGATGAAAATGGAAATTTCAGCGTGGCTGCAGGTGCCTCCGACCACTCACCTCAGGAACCGCCTCAAGGCAGGAAAAGCAGCCCTGCCTGGAGGCACGCACAGCCCCGGCCAGGCGGAGGCACCGCACCCCGCCGCGCACGGGGGGATGCGCCCGAAAGCCCCCCGGGGAAGGGGATTTGCTCCGGCCCCCTGCCCGACCCCACCTGCCCAACAATGCCCGGCTCTTGGGGTAGGGGGAAGGCAACACCGCGCCGCAGCCGCGCCTCCCGTCGCGACATGTCGCGATTGGCCGGCGGGGGAGGGGGGCGAGCCCCATCGCCTGCCTAAAGGTGCCGTGGCTGGGTTGTAAAATACATTCTCTGGTGGTGTGTGGATGTGTGAGCATCCTACCCCGCCTCCCATCGGCTCCCACACGGCTCCGGGTCTCCCTCCCGCCCCCCCCAGCCTCCCCCGGCACTCCGACGCCGGTGTAGAAAGCAGTGTCCAGGCGCCGGGGGACCCGCCGCGCTGGGCAGGGCCGGGGGCGAGGGCCGGTCGGTCTCGGTCCTACCTGGCGGGGGGCAGGAGCGGCGCGTCGCCGGGCCGGATCAGCAGCGGCGGGGGCATCGCGGCGGGGCGGGCGGCGGGAGCCCCGTGCGCTGCTGAGCGCGCGGCGGCGGGCGGAAGGAGAGAGGAGGAGGGAGGAGGGAGGAAAGGAGGAAGAAGGGAGGGAGGGATGGAGGGATGGATGGAGGGGCGCGCGCGCACACACACACTAACACACACACACACGCGCGCAGCGCCCCGGGGATGCGCTCAGCCGGCCCGCCCCGCAGGCAGCCTCCCCTCCCTCCGCATCCCTCCGCCGCGATGCGCGGGCAGGGAAAGACCTCCCTCCTCCGCGGTAGCAGCTTCAGCCCTCCTCCTCGTCCCCCTGCTGCTGGAAATATTTCCCGATTTCCTCCTCGGATCGAGGGACTTTGAAAGGCAGGGCTGGCTGCGGACCCACCCCCAGCAGCCCTGCCCTCCCTGCTTGGGGCAGTTCCCCAGCCCTGCCCTGCCTGCCCCCAGCCCTGCCCCTCCTGACCGGGACAGTTCCCATCCATGCCCTGCCTGACTCCAGCCCAGCCCACCCTGACCGGTCAGGTCCTGCCCGCTGTGGCTCGTCGCATCTCCCCGGCCGCCCTGCAGCCTGCCAGGGCGATCCCGAACCCATTTTCACTCTGCAGGAAGGAGCGAACCCTGGGAGAGATGGCGACAAGAGAAACACGTGTGTGTGTGCAAGGAGTGCCTTGCTGTGCCTGTCCCCGTGCCCCACAATGTTGCCCATGGTCCCTGTGGGGAGGCAGGAGGCCAGGGGACCTGGACTGGGACTCACTTCCCTATCACATCCTCAGAGTTGAGGTGTTTGCAGAGGACAGTGGGGGACATGGGGTGATAGGCAAGGAGCATGTGGGTCAGCTAGGACCTTCCTGGGAACTGCCCTCACATCTGGCAGTTTAGTCAGCCCTTAAACCCACAGACCCTCCTGTCCCCACAGAAGGGTCACCAGCATTGGAGAGGTCCTGCAGGAAGGCAGCAGCCTGGCAGAGAAGGACTTGCTGCACCTCAGGCTGGCCCAAGTGTCCTTCCTGTGGGCAATTCCCCTTTTACCATGCCTGAATGACTCCTCCACCCTTCGCTGGCTCCAGCAAGGAGCAGATGAACCCGTTGTCCCGCCCTCCAGGAAAAACTCTCTAACTTTAGGAACTTAAAATAGGACCAGAGCTAATAACTCACACACTGGTCGTTGCAAGTACCCAGTGACCTTGACTAGCCCTCTACGCCCAGATCCTCAGGTGCAACAAGAACTGTGGAAAATCAAGACATTATTTTAGCTCCTGCACCCTCTTAGACCTTTTCCCTCTTATCTTGTTAGCTGTGCCTGTGATTTTTGTCACCACTGGTGAGACAGAAACCCAGAATTTTATCTTTGGATTTATCTGTGCTTTTCTTCCTTACTTTCAAAAAAAACTTATTAAGATTTTTCATCACCATGTCCTTCAACAGAGATGGAAAACTAAATTTCTCTTTTCAAGATGAGATGTAAGGTATGGACAACGACACAAAACTCCTTTGTAAAGCACTTTGTGATGAACTGACCAACCAACAAACCAGCTACTTAATGTTCCAGCTGTTATTGATATTATTTACTTTTGGTCTTACTTTAAGAGCTTATTGCCTACATATGGAATGAAAGGCATTTCCATATAAGAATTTGGTTTAGAAAAAGCCCATGATTTTGTGTCCAGTAGCTAACTCTGATTTTCTGTCTCACCTCTTTTGATTTAAAACTCTTCAGAGGAGGGATAAGGTTGCATCTATCCGTGTGGGGTACTTTGATGGTGCTCAATTCTCCCAGCAGGGCCACTGATATAAAATGAGCACAGCTAAATGTGTACAGCATGCAGAGTGCTGTGCTCGGATCAGGAATTGAGCAGAGCGGTGAATGTGTATCAGTGGCATTTGGTTCTGGCAGTGGCTGCAGGATGCAAGGTGCTGCACAAGCTGGCATGGCAAAAGGATAGTGTGAGCAGAAAAAAAATTGGCATGGTTGCAGCGAACACAATCCCTGCTGTTGCTTTTCACCCTACATACTGAAATCTAATCTCTGCAACAGTAAGCAGAGGAACTCAGATTTTAGTCATGAAGTTCTCCCTAAAGCTTCCCATTTCCCTCAGTGATGTTGCTGACCTACTTCCAGCTCTTTCAGTGAATACAGTATCCTACTCTTCTGGATCACCGAGACTAAACTTTGCTAACAGGGATCCACTGGTAAGCTGCCCTCTGAAGAACCAGGCACATTCTCAGTTCCTCCCAGCTCACCTCTCTCTCCAGCTTCCAGTGAGTGTTCCTGTCTCCCAGTGCCTCCTGCTGAGATCCTCAGTAAGGTTGCTTCAGCTGCGGGATTTTTGTGCCATTTGAGGGGAGCTGAAGAAAACAAGAGTTTGTCAGTGTTTGTGGTGATGCCCATTAAGTCCATGCAAATGAACCTTTTGTATCATCCAGCCTTAGTGGCGCTGGGACAGAAAACATGAAGCATTATTATCCCACCTGAACATAAGAGCAGATTTCATCTGCTTGAAAAGTGACTGATTAGGAGGAATATGAAACAGGGAGCCTGGGATAAGATGTGCCCCACTTCCCAGTCCTTCACACATCCCTTTCCAGGAAATTCAGACCTTCGTTTTTTACAGTCTCCAACAGAAAGGTGGAGTTAGACTCTGAAAGAAAAGAGTGGAAGTCAGGGAGTAAGTAGGAGAGACAGTGACTCCAATTGCTGAAAGAAGATACTGTGTTACAGGACTGCTCCACACTGCAGTGTCCATGGTTCATACTGCTTTTTCTCAGTCAAGCCTGCTGAAGTAGCTGTAACAGAATAGAGCTCTGCATGGGCTGTGAAATCTGCTGGGCAAGCTGAGCAAATGCTCCCGTGGTCTCCCTGATGCTCTAGGCAAAAATGCAATAAGACTTCTCATGTCCTGACACAGCAAGTTTGTTACAGTGTGGGCACATCTATGCTTCAACATGATTACAGATTGGGCTGTGCTGGGAGAGGTAGCAGTTTCCTCCAACTACCTTTACTTGCCTGTCTCTCTTTGCAGTCATGGAAGTGAACACCTACCATTGCAAACATGCTTACAACCACTAATTAGTTGTCTCAAAATCATGGAGATTCTCATGCCAATACTAGCGAATGGTTCATTCATTCATTCATTCACTCACTCATTCATGCACACCCACAGCTCTCTCCGACAGCAGCCTGCATCTCTCTGCAGTTGCTGGAGGAGGTTTCTGGGTATTGTCTACATATGTAGAGCAGAAAGACTATTTGTCCCTGGAAAGAATGGGGTTAGTGGACTGTGGGATCTCGAGCACAGGACAGAATGGTGCAGGCCAATTCTCTGCTAGATGCCTTGCAAAAAAAAAGACATCTGAGCTGCTGCACAGTTTAGAGGTGGGGGACACAAAACGTCAAGTACTTCTTTGCTTGAAAAATTTCTGCCTTATGTTCCCTGTAAAAGAGACAAGAGGTCAGGGCAAGGTTAATCTTCAGCTCAGCCAGAGCATGATCACCTCCAAGCAGCTGTCCTACTGCCCTTTCTTGGCCCTGTTTGGAACATACACTCAGTGCAATGCTATGGTTTCTGCTCCAGCTTTTGGGTTCAGATAATGCTGGAGGATAACCAGTAAGTCCTCACTGGCTAGTTATCTCTGTTCGTGGTTTTCCTTGAGTCCCTCAGAAGATGCCAGAGAGGTCCTACAGAAGCAGATGGGTTGTCACCTCTGGCTTGCCATTCATCTATCTTTGCTCCTCACTGCAGCAGACTTGAGCATGCGCTCACTGAACATTCTCTGGCTCTCCTATGCATGTTCTTGGCAGAGACCTGGAGAATCCTGGAGAGTGGTGTTTCTAAAAAAGATGCTCAGAAATATAGTTTCCAGTGATTTGAGCACTTGCTGTCACTGACACCTTTAAACCTGCCTTTGCTGTTAGGAGGATAAATCGGGCGTTTAGAAATGTGGCAAATGGAGTGGGACACAGTAGTGAGTAGGAAGGGCAATTTTATGTGCTGGACATCATATGTTTCTTTTTGAGCTTTCCAGATAGTGCCTCCTTAACTGTTTCCAAGTACCTGGTCTGAGTCCTGATGATCCCAGGGAGGTCTGATTGCATGACAGTTGTCCATCAGCTGGCCAGGGGGCTTGGATGTGAAAGGTATCTTCTCCCCTGGAAAACTGAGAGTATAGATTGTATCCCAGGGAGAAGGCAGTGCTCAGTGGAATATTTTGGCACACCTGTGAAAAATCAAGAGCTTATGGGTTGCTGTCACTCCAATGCTTTGAGACCCTGCAGAGGTAACTGGAGAAACCATGATTGGGGTGCTTCTGAGCTTTCACCCGAATACTTGCTCTATGCTGTGTTTTGTGCAGGTTTAAACAATAAATCCAGTGCACTAATTCATGAGCATTGCATTTAGCAGCTTGGGAGAGAATTTTCCTGGAAGAAGCAGTGACTGGCCAAATTTTGCAGAGCACTGCTTATATGTGGCAGACACAAAAGAGTTTTTGCACTGGAAACCACCTGCTGCATGGGGGTTGAATGAAGTAGTTAGAGGAGCTGGATGTGAACTTAGGGAGTTTGGAAATGGGGAGAGTTGCATGTATTTTGCAAACATCTAGTCTGCAAAACAAGCCACACACTCTTCTCTTCAAATTCTGCTTCAGAATTTTTTCTTTTTGAGAAAACTGCTTTCTGATCACCAGACATATACAAAAAAATTCAGTACGTGCACAGAATGACTTCAGTACCTGAGCCTATTGTAAGAGATGTACAAGGTGCAAACTGTGTCCCTACTCTTCTCAAAGTGGTAGAGACAAAAAAGCCTTCTGGCAGCTGTCATTTGTCTCAAGAGCAGTGCATGCTAATACAAGCATCTCACTCCTACTTCTCAGGCAAAAACCAGCTCCTAGCTGGTGCCACTGAAAAATGAAGTCCCCTGCTGAACTGCCTGGCCCTTAGCATCTTTGCCCACCAAAACCACGACACCAATGAGGCTTTGTTTTGCTGTTACAAAACTGCAGA